ACCCAGAAACTGCGCCCCCCCCTCGGACCGGTCCTCCACCCAGAAACTGCGCACCCGCCCCCCCCCACGACCGGTCCTCCACCCAGAAACTGCCTCGCGACTGTCCTTCCACCCAGAAATTGCGAAGTGCTCCGTACATCGTGCGTCGTGCGTCGTCCTTCTTGCGTCGTGCTTCGTGCGTCGTGCTTCGTGCGAACCGACGTGCTTTCAGGAACTTGGTGTGGCGATTGTGTGCTTATGGGCCTCCCTGCACTACTCTCCAAATGCGCAAAATGACTGACGAATCCTGACCTAGAACATGGAAAAATACACCGCCATTTTTTGTCTTCTATGCATGTGGACAGTACCGGAGCCAGGCCCTATGCTATACGAGCGACGTGCTACTTCCTCCGTGCTACTACCTGTATGTAGCTACGTGCTACATGCTTCGTTTCTCTCTCTCTCTCTCTCTCTCTCTCTCTCTCTCTCTCTCTCTCCTTTTCTCTCTTCTCCATGCTAGTTTCTATGTGCTTGGTGCAATTCGTGCTACCGGCTTGAGAGTTACTTTCAGTCATCAGATTCGATTGGGATTCGAACACAGGCCTGCCTTTCAACAGTTCGTAGGCAAACCAACGGAGCAGGGCCAGTTGGCTTTCAACAGTGCTACTGGCTTCGGTGAACTTGCTGCTTCCTGAATCTGTACTGCATTGAATGTGCCTCGTGCTACGTGCTCAGCATTGGTGCTGGCGACGCAAGTCTGACAGCTCTACGTGAGTGAGCTTGGGCCTCGCTGCACCACTCTTGAAATGTGCAAAACGAGAGTGAATCTTCCGCTTGAATATGGACAGATACACCGCCATGATTTTTGTCTTTTGTGCATTTCAAGAGTAGTGCAGCGAGGCCCCTTGTTGGTGCTAAGTGCTTCGTGACGTTGATGGTACTTCGACGTGAAACTTCGACGTGACGTTGGTGAAACTTCAACGTGGGCTTGAGGTATTGTCTCTTTTGTGGAACTGGGACGGCTGAGCTAAAATCACTTGAGGCAGTAGTTGTTGGTTGATCGGTGTCGGCTGGAGGCGTCGTCGGAATGGCTCACTCAAGTGAGTCTCCATTTCTTTGACCTCCTCCCTCCTCCCTCCTCCCATCCCCTCTGCATATCCCCTCCGCATGATCTCCGCCTGACCACCTCCATCCGCCCTTCCTCCTCCCTCACCTTGCTTTCTCCGCTCGAGCTCCACCTGACCCCTTGTCCCACTGCCCTCCCTCTCTCCCTCCTTCCTTCCTCGGCCCTTCATCCTCTACCCTCCCCTCTCTCCCTCTTCACTCCCTCCTCCCTCACTTCTCCCTTTGCCCTCCTTCCTTCCTCGGCCGTTCGTCCTACACCCTCTTTCCTCCCTCACTCCTCCCCCTCCCTCCTCGCTCCCTGGTTTCTACCTCTGCCTTCCCTCCTCTCTCTGTTCTTCCTTACTCGGCCCTTCATCCTCCCTCCCTCCTTCCCCTGGCCCTTCTCCTTAGACCCTCCCTCCCTCCTTCCACCTCCCTCTGCCCTCCCTCCTTCCTCCCTCGGCCCTTCCTCCTTCCTTCCTCCGATGGTCCCCTTTCTCCCTTGTCCCTCCCTCCTCCCTAACCCCTCTCCCCTCCCTCTCTCCTTCCTTTCTCCCTACTTCCCGCCCGACCTAAAGAGTACATTTTGTCTTTCTTCTCTTTCCCAATCGATGTAAACCCCGTATTTCGTTAGGAACCATCACCATCGCTCCTCCCTCTCTCCATTGCTGCCTCGTCCCTTCTTCCTTGGCCCTTGGCCCACCGACCTTCCTCCCTCTCTCCTTCTTCCCTCCCTCCTCCCTCCTTCCTCTCTCCCTCTTCCGTCCCTCCTTCCTCCGGTGCTTTTAGCTTGTCCCTCGACCCTACCTCCTCCCCCCTCCCTCCTGCTCTCCCACCCTACCTCCCTCCTACCTCCCTTCTTTGTTCCCGACCTAGAGAGTGCATTTCATTTTCCGTTCTTTTCCCAGTTTACAAAAAAATCGTTTTTCGATCTGAATTAGGGCGTTCAAAAGAGAGAGAGAGAGAGAGAGAGAGAGAGAGAGAGAGAGAGAGAGAGAGAGAGAGAGAGAGAGAGAGAGAGAGAGAGAGAGAGAGAGAGAGAGAGAGAGAGAGAGAGAGAGAGAGAGAGAGAGAGAGAGAGAGAGAGAGAGAGAGAGAGAGAGAGAGAGAGAGAGAGAGGACTGACTAGGGGATGGTGGAGGAAGAGCATGAACTGTGGAAAGAAATGTAGATCGCTTGAAAATACCTGGCGCGGGTCAGTTCGATTAGTAATCTTAAGGCCGCCCCAAAAGAGCGAGAGGAGAATCTTGAGGAGGAAGAGCGTGCGTTAGCAGAATCAAGACCGTGAAGGGGAAGAAGAGCTGGAGGAGGATGTGGCGGCGAGAAGAGTTTTAGGTGAAATGTGTCGGAAGAGCGTGAGTAAGCGGAAGACGTATATTGGGTGATGAAGGAGACAGGGAGATGAAGGAGACAGGGAGATGAAGGAGACGGACAAAGGAGAAGGCGCAGGAAAGGAAGAGCGTGAAGGGGAGAAAGAGCTTGAGGAGGATGTGGAGGTGAAGAGTGGTATGTGAAATGTGGCTGGCTCTCCCGCTGTCCCCCTCTCTCTCCATCTCCCTGGCTCTTTCTTGACCACGTGGACCCTTATTGAGATGTTGAGAAGAAATGCACCTGACCGCGTTTACGTCCCACCGGAACAAGAAGAAAGAAACAAAAGAGACGAAATGCACTTCTTCGGTCGGGCGTCATGAAAGAAGGGAGGGTGGTCGGAGGGAGGAAGGAGGGAGGAAGGAGGAAGGAAATCGGGCGGAGCATGGAGGGGGAGGGAGGAGGTCAGGCGGAGGTGGAGATTGGGAGGAGGAAGGGGAGGGAGGTGATCGGGGGAGGGAGGAGGTCAGGCGGAGCTTGAGGGAAGGAAGGAAGGGGAGGGACATGGTCGGGCGGAGGAAGGTTGAAGAGGAGGAAGGGTAAAGGCGGCAGGGAGATGTCGGACGGAGGGAGGAGGGAGGGAGGAGGGAGGGCAGAGGTTGGAGAGCGAGCGAGCGAGCGAGAGAGAGAGAGAGAGAGAGAGAGAGAGAGAGAGAGAGAGAGAGAGAGAGAGACACCAATCAGAACAGGTGAAAAGTAAGCTACCAAGCTGTCTCTTATACACATCTAGATGTGTATAAGAGACAGCACCTAGCATCGCTGACAGGGCTTAAGAAAAAGCAAAAAAAAAATATGCAGGTTGCATGCTCACAGTTTTAAGAATGTATTTACCCCTAGGTATG